CCCCCCCAAAAAAAAATTACTTAACACTACTCAAATGAAACCCCAATTTCCGATATCTAACAGGCATCAATTTAGAGTAGATGTTAATCATGCTCAACTTGTTACAATTAAAATCTATTAGTGTTTTCATGGCTTCGTGAGAGTGTATGCAAGTCAGTACTTCTCCTCATGTGTACAGGTTGGATCGATGGAGGGTCTATCTTAGCTCCCACAATATATGTTCTCCAATCAGATGACAATCAATCTCAATGTGCTCGGTTCTCCCATGTAATACTTAATTATGGCTATATAATTCGTTGTAGGGTTATCAGAATACATTCTCATCAAGCCCTCTGTAATTACTCTAAGCTCTTTTAGAAGTCTACTTACCTTGCCAATTCGCATGGCACATCTGTCATGGCTTTGCACTTTGACTGAGCATTTGAACGGGAGAGTATATTGTTTCTTTTTCTAAGAACTAAATTTCCTTCTATAAATAACAATATCCTATAATTGATGTCCTAGAAACAAGGCAAACAACATAATCCGCATCCAAGAAACTAAATATTCTACCATCTCCTTCTTCAGTGAATGCTCCAACTCGATAACAACCCTAAGCTAAATAGACTATCCCAAACCTAATATCGCCTTGAAATACCTCAAGGCACGAAGTGTTGCAATTCAGTGACATGTGCAAGGAGTGGATATAAAGTGGCTCAAAACACTAACCGGAAATGATATATCAAGTCAAATATTGTTAAATAGTTTAACATTTACTCAATCAATCTCATGTCTCTTTATGGATCCTTCATAGGATTTCCATCCTCTGTAAGAAGCTTTCCTATAACAAGCATCAGGTTCTCTACTCGTTTGCACCCTAATAAACCACACCCAGTAAGCATATCAAAATCATCGTTTGAAAGCCCTATGCAGACTAGGATACTTCTATGCCAAAGAAGTAACGAAGATCTCCAAGATCAATAATTTGAAAGTTGATACCGAGTTTGTAGAAATTGTCCCAACTAGGAAATTTTGGGGCTAATCGTCGATGGTTATAATGTCATCTACATAAACCACTAGTATGATTTGTTAACTGCCAATCATACCAAACTCTTGAAGAACATCATAAATTCGCCCTAACCATGCTCAAGGGACTGCTTAAGAACATATAATGGACGTAGCAGTCAAAACACCTTTCAGGCCTCTTCCTCAAAAACAAGCCAGATTGTTGTTCCATGTAAAGCTCCTCTTCAAGAATGCCACTAAAAAACATTGACATCAAACTAACAGGGTGGCCAATGATGAATGACACAATTATGGCTATAAAAATGCAAACAGACGACATATTGGCCACCGGAGAGGAAGTCTATTATTATCAACCCCATGGGCCTAAGAATAACCTTCTGCAACTAATCTTGCTTTCAACCACTGCAGTGAAATGTCAGGATTAAGTTTTATTGTGAATACCCAATTACAACCCACTTTGCACTTTCTATGACGACATTGTTCCCAATCCCAAGTATGATTCTTCTGTAGGGCATCAATATGCATTGCTTTAAAGCATCGAAAGTGATTAAGTGCCTTAGTCATGGGAACAATAAGGGTTATTAATGGTCGTTGTGTAGGCAAAGGACTTTGAAGAGTAGTGAGAGTAATCAAGATAACCACAGATAGGATATTAGTTATGAGTCTGTGTGCCATTTAGGTAGTTTGTGTGCCATTTTGGAAGGCAATTGGAATATTGGGAAAAAGGGGGTCAATTGGTCATAAGGCTTGACAGGTGGTGCTAGAGGTGTATCAAGTACCCAATCAATATGTGATGGAATGTGTAATAAACAGGAGACTCACCAAAATCATGATGCATGGTAAG